TGCAATAATTTCAAACATATATCCACGTACAGAACCTAATAATGACACAGAAGCTGATGCAAAGACAAACTTGTACGCTTCTTCTTTGTAGAATTCCTTTAGTCTTGCAAAACTTTATTACCAATAATTGTTGATGCAAACTTTAGCTCACATGAAGTATAGGGAAGTCTGAAAAAGGTGCGTTCATTGATGATGACATTTATCTGCTTCTCATTAGTATGAATATGCACTAAGTTATGACTATAAACATCGCCTTCACTGACTGTGCCAATATATCTAAATAATCTGGTGTTGATATTGTCAACAGAGGCCGTAATCATATCGTCAATCTCATCTAATGTGTATTTGAAGATTATTCTTGGAATACCACCACATAATTGGTAAGATTCATGAAGATTGTCCTTTGAAAATTCTGGATAGATTAATGATCGATATTCTTCTAATTCGGCCTCTGACCAAATTTGCATGTATACTTTGATTGTAATATTAACTGGTTTGCAAAAATTTTTTATGTTCAATTCCTTTGGTGATGATACCATAATTAGTTTTCCGGTATCAAAATCGTGATTTACCCTGGGTGGTTTGCCGTCGATTATACACCATACATTGTCTCTTCCTGCAACTCTGCCATAGTCTTCATTTTGTACCCATTCCACATCAAAATCATTCATCTCATCACGAGTAATGAGATATAGGTGCGGGTAACTGGCATCGTCTACCAACAGTTCGGAACCTTCCTTTAACAAAACACTCATAATATAACGTCCGAAAAATGTCTTCCCCGTTCCTGGATTCCCGGTGATGCAGAAACGCTTATGTTTCTTGCTCTCGAGAATGATTTTCTTGAAATAGTCATAACAATGATGCTTATAGATATGTGTTTCGCTTTCGGTTCCTGGAAGTGGCGGAACGATAATCACTTCCTTGTTCAAGTCTAAATCAATAGCGGTTCTCGCAAATAATGTAATTTTTCTGGTGTCTTTTTCCCAATCCTCTAAATAAATAGAAGTATAAAGAAAGATGTGAATCGGAATTCTGATAATTCATCTTGATAGTACTTACCCGCTAACATTTTTGTCCTCTTGTAACGACTTGATTCAGCAGAGGGTGAGAGTGGCCGTTGCCCTGCAGAAACGAGAAAAAGCGCAAAAACAATAAAGGTTAGCGTCACGTTCGAGTTGATCAATCATTACGACGCAAAGGCGCTTACCTTGATGTTCATCTAAATTGGGTTAGGAGACCAGAAAAGGCAAAGTTAGTTACCGGACAAGAAATATCATTACGACACAAAGGATGCTCATCTAAATACATACCGGATATAAAATCTTTCAAAAGACTCATCTTAGATTCTTTTGTCTGGAGACTTTGGAGGGCTAAAAATAATTCTTCTCTTACTTCACGATTTTTCATTAAACAAACTATTAGTTTATTCTTTTGCGTTTCTTCGATACCAAAGCCATCAATAACTTCATAGATATTCGACATGTTACTAAAGATATGTTTTTGATTTGAAAGAAAAATATATATAATGAAAAACGAAGATATGTTTTTGATTTTGAAAGAAAAAAAAAATATAATGAAAAACGAGAGGTTTATGTTAGACTTATTGACTATATTGACTATATATGTGATTTTGTAATAAACTTTTATTAATGTGAACACGTTGTAACTATTAAACTATTAAACTTCACTGGTTATTAATTGAGAACGCGTTTTGTAGTCAGAACTCAGAAGTATGTAACATCGGTTCATCTGTTGATAAAAATACAATTATTTTCTGACAAATATCTAAAAAATTCGAGTCATAGTGAAATACACCATATAATACAATATATTTTCTGATCGTGTACTACGAATAACGCAAAATGACATTTAAATTAAACAAATATTGTCTTTCTAGCAGAATATGTATATCAATATACAAGAAAGGAAATCCACTCAAGGTCTATACAGATATAAATAAATTCAGTAAATTTCTGGAGTTTTGTTGAAATAAGATAAGTATATCTTGTATAATTCTTACTTTCTCTTAAAAAGTTTTTTTAACATTAATTTTCTTCTTTAGCAAATAGTTTTTCAAATGATAAAGGTAATCAATGATTTCTTGAATAGAAAAAGTAATGTGAAATAGAAAAATAAGTAAAATCAAAACAATTAATTCTTGATATTCATCTAATTTTAAATAAAAAGAAAACAGTAAAAGGTTAAAAAAGCTATTCAAGAATAGATAGTTATTATATCACCATTTTTATAAAATTGATTGTCTCAATGATATTTCTTCAGAAATTTTTGGTTTAAAATTTAATTAAATTTTATTAATTATTATCTCATTCAGTTTATTTTAAATTACATGACTTAAATTAATTATATAAAAGTTTCATTTTTATAATTAAATTTCTGACAAATAATTATATCTTAATTTAAATCTAATTATAATTATTAAATGATAAAATAAATTCTTAATTTTAAAAGAAATTACTAACAAACTAAACTAAATCTTTCTTAAGAATATACTAAGAGAAATTTATTAGCAAATAGTTTTAATTTACTTATATAGTTAATTTTAAATTAAATAAATAAAGAATTTTACTAATTTATAACAAACAATTATTTTATTATTAGAAAATAAGAACTATTATAAGTTCTGAGTTAAATAATCACAAAAAATTTATTATTTAATTATCATATAAGTAAATAAAGAAATATATGTGACCAAAAAATTTCATAATTAAGATAAAAAAATAATACAAATAGTTATATAAAAAACATATTAAAGTTTTTATATAGTCATGTAAAATGATTTACAACTAAATATAATTTAGCAAATATTAAATGTTAACATATCCAGAAAATGTTCAATATGCTATAGTTTTATTGAAAAGATTTATGTTTTTTATTATTCAAATTTTTCAATTTTTATTTTAAAAAATTAAAAATAAAAAAAAATGTCAAATTAATTTTTAATAAAGTTAAGTCACAATTATATTGAATTATTAAGAATGATGAATATTATAATGTTACAATTGGGGTTGAGGAGATCTTAATATATATTCCATAAATATATAAATATTTTATGCTATAATTTCTATATTTATGAAGAGCTTTAGGTTCAAAACAAAGAAATAATAATAACATCTTAGCAAATTTGAAATTGCCAAATATTTCATCAAATATCTTTCAAATTATTTTAAAATTACTATTAAGTAGTATATTACTAATAATCAATTGTGATATAAAGCATAAGATTTTATATTTTATTAAATATAATTTGCAAAATACAATTAGTATACTTTATTTACAAAAAATTTTCATATCAAAATTTAATTTTTTATCAGCATTTTTCGTAAATGTAGTAAAAATATTATAAAATTGGTTTGTTTTAATTATATGTTTTATAATATATAATAAATTTTTGAAAGTTTTAATGAATTTATAATGTTTTTTATAATGATTAAATTTTGATTTTCAATGTGAAAAATAATACAAATTGAATAAATACAATAAATAAAAATTTATTGAATTAGATTTTTAATATCACAATTTTACTTTATATTTAGCATTTATCTTTATTAATTATTTTTTTTTTATTTAAATGATAAATTTTTTTTTATACTTAACAAAATAAAAAAAAAGATTTTATTTTAAAAACAATTTAAATTTCATTATAAATTGTTATTTTATTATATTATTATTGCTATTATTACTATTATTAAATTGCTATTAATATGATTATTCTAAAGATGATTTAAAATGCATCATCTTTAACTCCAGTTTTTTTATCCTAAGCTAAAATTTCATACGTGATTACTTTATATCAAATTCCATTTTTTTTGTAATATTTCAGCTTTAAGCTGTTCAATTTCTAATTCTTCTTTTTTACAAATCATTTCTACTTTTCTAACTTTCTTTTCAACCATATACCTTTTTTCAAATTGTTCATTTTCAAAAGCAAGTCATTTTTCCCAAACTGTTTATCATATACTACCTATAGAAATCATAACTTCAGCTAATAGATCTTGTGAAACTAACTTTCTTTTTTTATTAACTTGATCATTCTTTATTTTCACTGGATTTCTTTAGATTCTTGTTTTTCTTCAAAACTATTAAACAATTCAATATCATTAGAAAAACTATCTACTAAGAATTCTGGATTGTGATTTTTGCATGTTTCTAATAAAGCATCAATTCCTTTAAACTATTTCCATTTTGCTTGTGCTTCTCTTCCTGTTTTATTTTCCTTTTCTTTAATATTATTATATTTAGTCACCAGGTGGCCTAATTTATTTTGATCTGTTCCCATAGTTTTCCTGGGAAAATTTTATTAAAAACCATTTTAGCAAAATTTGACTTATTTTTTTTGTAACTAGAAAAATTTTCTTCAAGAAAATTTATCAATAATTTTGTGTTTTCATCATTTTAGCCTTCTTCTTCATTAACAGATCCAGATTGAGAAGTATTATTTGAAGTACCTTTTTCTCTCTTTTTTTTATAAATTTTTGGTTTAGCGAGTATTAGTGTAGTATTAGTAGTAGATTCAACCAGTGGAAATGAATTAAAGGTATATAAAACTAAGAAGTTGAAGTTTATTACAGTTATAATGTCTAAATTTTGCATAAAAAATTATTGTGGTTTTGGAGCAATTGAACGAAAAGTTGAATTTGAGTTAGATATTTTTGAATGCAGTAAAATTTAAAAAAATCGCGTTATCTTATAAAATCAGCTTATCTGAATTTAATTTATTAAAATCGATCAAGGTGAGTAACAAAAATATTGATCGTATTGATCGCTCATCTGATCATTTCAGTACAGTCAACCCTTTCTACAATCACACCTTATATAATTACACCCTCTTTATAAGCACACTATATTTTAGTTCTGATTTTTTAAAATATAAAAACCCTCTT